CAATGGTGTTGTATCATCTAGGGGCCCTCAAAGAGAACTTCTAGATATTGTGCTTTCAACTTTTCCCCGTTTGTGAATTGGATAGTGAAATAGTTGTTAGGAAAATCAATTATTTAAAAATCAAGAATATTCAAGGTTCTAGCTAACCATCTCTTCATAGCGGCAAGGTTCATTCTTTTCCCTAAGACAGTAACAATCACAGCATACTTCCAAGGTCTGCACCAATCTTGAAACTCATCATTTAGTATTACAGGGTATTTTTTCATTAATTCTTTTGTCTCTTCAATAGGTTCAGGGAGATCGCATGGGATATAATTTGTATCCTTAAAGAGGTCATCTTCCTCCATAATCATAACGCCATTTGCTACTCCATTAAAGCCAAGAAGGGAGTCACGATAGGATACCTTTCGTTTAGACTGTTCTGAAGGATTTCCATTCTTACCCTCAAGACATTCTTTGAGTTTTAGTTTGAGCATCTTCCCGTTTACTATCCATATGATCATCCGTCAGGAATCACTGGAAGGAGGGTTCTGTTTTTTCTTCTTATCGCTTCCTTGTTGCAGAGAGTCTGCCGGCCAATCCGGTGGTTGTTTCCGGTAGTCCTTTACATCGAAATTCATGAGAAAAACTTCTTAGGCACAGATATCAAGAGAGAGAAAACCCAGCCTATATATGCCATGCGTCAAGGATCCACCTTCCACAAATCTCTTGAGTTTATATTGATTCAATAATCACGTCACACAGAGATGGTGTAGGATAGTTGACAATAAGAATTCCTATATCCTTGGGTTGGAACCATGTTTTCTCCAAAAGTTTGGGCCGTTTGAATTTCCATTGGAAAAAATTGATTATTAGATTGTCATGATATTTGGATTAGTTCCTAGAAATTGATTTTAATAAAATTGAGGTTTGAATTTTTAAATGGAACAAAATTTAGCTTCCCCCAAATGGAGTTTGGGAAGTCAAATGAAGTTTTGGATAATTAGAGTGTTAGCATATGGCCCAAATGACCAGCAAAGACCAAGCCCACTGCATGATTTGAGATCGAGTTACGTATCTTCAATATATGCAATCATTCTGTTCTATTAGTTAGATCATATTCTTATAGATACGATTACGTAATCTTGTGCCGTGTATATATATGGCTGTCATTGTAAGCTCAAGGCAAGTCAATAATATATACTTTCCATATATTAGAAACACTTCAAACTCTATCTTAGGGTGTTTGGATAAAAATTTCCAAAACTATGATCTGGGGCCATAGTTGATTTTCAAAAATATATCCAAACAGGTCGTTCATCAATGGCTCTGAAAAACATAGCTTCTGTCTCCTTCCTTGCTTCGACCCGACACGTTTTTGGTGGAATCTCCAATAAACCCTGAGTATAATACATTTTAGGTCCCAAACCAGACTTATCTAAAATCTTCTTCATTAGCCTGAAGTTCTTCTCTAACAAATTACTCCCAATGATCTTCGCTCTTGCCGTGAACATTTCCTTGGTGATAACACGAGAATCCTTTTGGTTTGTAGCATGCAAAGTCTACTGAGTATAATTTTCTCGGTTTTTTAACTCAAGTGATGATAAATGGAAAGGGTTAAGAAGCCAAGTAATGCAGAGAAGTAAGAAGCTTTTGGAGATGGATGAAGATATTTGAACTCATGAATGAAACCAAAAGCTGAAGCTGCTTCTAAAAACGACATCAACAGTGGGTTAATCATGATGAATAAGGCTAAGCAGAAATATTGGCACGTGAGAATTCTCCATATGTTTGAATATATAGAGAAAAGTTAGGAGAAATTGCTTTTTATTTTGTAACCTAAAAGTTTTGTTAAACTAAATTATGAGATTATATATTTTTGTACCGTTGATTTACACTTTTTCATGATTTATAAATTAATGCAATCTTTCACAGAATATTTACTATATACATATCTAAATGTGAGAAATTCTTAGTTTGCATCCAATGCAACACTTCCAATAAAAAAAACACCAAGTCATGTTTAATCCTATGTGACAATCCTTTAATTTACAATATTTTATTGTTTATATTTTTTAAGGGGAAAAAACATTAAGGGGGTAGCCGTGAGGGGGGAAACTGTTTTTTTCTTAAAAAAATATGAACACTAAAATATTATTAACTAAGAATTTATCACATAGAATAAAAATAATGTGATATGGTATATTTTTATTGAGAGAACATAAGTGATGTGGTGCAACGATTTGGGCTTGGCAGGGCTGTCCATTTAAATTTATTTTTATAAAAATTTGAGTTTAAAAAATTGAAGTTTTTAACATAACTGAATTTTTAAGCCCGATTCTCAAAAAAGGAATTAGGCAGCCTTCCAAGCTTATTTTACTTTTTTTTTTTTTAAATCCTGGTCAAGTCCATGCTCCAGTGCTTTGAAACTATGGAAGTATATTAAATTGGCTCTTTGTAAATGAACGAAAATGTTATTTTTCCTGCCAACCCTGTCTGATGAACAGATTCAACTCCCTGAGTTCCCGATCAATTACTGATAATAAACAATTCAAGCACTCTTTAATTTTTGGTAAAATATTACAACCAATATTATTATTATTATTATTATTATTCTAGAAGTCAAGTTGCAAGGTGATAACCTTGTGTGAAAAGTTCTAATTGTCATCCATTTTATAACCACACCCTCAAGAAGCAATTAAGCCTTTGATATTAGGTTCGGTTCTAAACCCTTTACACAAAAACTGGACTTAAAAAAGTGAGCAATTTTAGGAAAATTAAACGTGGCTTATGGACCTAAATCAATAAAGGTTGAGCTCACCTATTTTCAGCTCTAATTGAAATTTGTAAATCTATGACTATTTTAGATGAGAAAATGATAGCTTTAAATGGGCCACATGGTAAAATTGAATAGTAAATGAGGACCTTACAACTTTTTGTATCAAGTGTAAGGGTTGTAGGTTAGTGACTATTTCAGATGTGAAAATGATTATTTTAGATGGGGAAATGATTAAAATTGAGTAGCAAAGGTAACTAACTTCCATTTTATTATTTTGCAAAAGGTCAAAAACATAATTTTGCAAAAAATTATGTCAGATAAGTGCTTAGAAATTTAAAGTAATTACCTCATTTCGTAAAACATTTTTATCAGTTGTTTATTTAATGGGATTTATATTTCATTCTCCCAATAATCAATCATTTTCTCTTAAATGCAAAATCAATTTACATGACAATTGTGACAAGAGAAACACAAAATAATTTAGTTGAAATGTCGATACAATTAACTACATAAGATGCTCCGTTGGATCTTATTTATGAAATGGAAGGAGAATATTTTTTACTCATAAGTCACGTCATTTAATTTTTATCATAATTTTTTTTTCTTTTACCTCATTAAATATTAGTGGAAGAAAGTATGTTATTAAAATATGTATATTTAATAGGGGTAAGATTAAAAATTTATTAAATTTTTAGACATAATTAATGAGTTTTAAGATTTTTGTTTAGCTCAAGTGAAACATAAAAGTAACTTATAAATGCGACTAGAGGAATATATAATGGTTGTTAAAATGTCAATATTGTTATAGTTGAGTAAGATATTTTTACGTTTGAAATAATACTTTAAACATTAATATATTATTATTTCAAATAATAAATTAAATTTATAGGTTCATTGGCATAGAAATTCATTTTGCTTAGATTTTCAGCGATTAATATAGCTCTGAATGCAGCTAGATAACCAAGTTCTTATTTTGAGATATGACAGAGACCTACAAATTATAAGGTGTGAATCAAAAAAATCATGTAAGCATGCATGTCAGCAGATGATACTTGCACATTTATAGCATTTTTTTTTTAAATTTAACTGATGCAATGCGTAAAAACAATTCTTGAAATTTATCAACATATAGAAAAATTATATATGTATTTTTTTTAAAAAAATATGTTATACGAGAGAGAAAATGTCTCCTTTTATGTAACTAGGTTCATATTCAAGCATTAATGAGTCTAATTAGAAGCAGCTTTCCTAAAAGCATTTTCTGTATTCATGCAAAATTGAATTTGAGATTTTGTACTTAAACGGTTATTCCTTCTCCTACTAAAATCAATGCCTGTTGGTGTATTTTAAACGAGATAGAAAACTTCTACTGCTCAAGGGATGGGCCTGGGCCGCTTGGTGTCCAAATCTTGGTTTGTTGTATGTTTAGAAAGTTGGACTTTTAAGGCCTAAGAGAAGGATGCTAGACAAATACAAAGGAATACAAAAAAATTCAATGAACTGATCTCATGAAAAAACTGTCGATATTGACTTTGAAGCAGGGCCTCCTGATAATTTAATACTTCCTCTGTACGAAAGACTGGTTAATTATTTTATATTGATTAGAAAAAGTAAAAATTAATTAGTTAAATAAAATGAAGATCCCTTTCCTACCATGTTTTCCTAGAAAAAATTGGTGGTTCCTCTCCAATCCTCCACATTGTTGTCAATTATCCGAGCCAGAAAATGTGAAATTATCCTCATTTTAAACATAGTTAAGTTAAATATCATATATTTAATCTCCCAGTTAAAGACTGTAAATTCTACTAAGTTCAGCTGGCAATCAAGTGGACAATAAAACACTACGGGGTGTGATTGTCATTTATGAGTTTAAGCTTGGTCTTGATCAAGGAATGTTTGAAATAAATACATGACAAGATAGGCTTGAAAATTTGCGACAGCAACAAAAATTTTTGTCGCTAATTCACTATTTTTTCAGTGAATGAAGAGACAATTGTATTTTCAGAGATAAGTCATGTATATTTTATTGAATTTTACAAATAATCTTATATTAAGGATTACTAGGAATCTTGTGTAAACAAGATTGCAGGGAATATTTTTCTTACATAAATGTTAACTTTGATTGTTTCCAATAATATAGCAAGTATAAGGAGTATCGACATTGCAGCTAGTTGAGGAATCACAAATCGTTTATTTGAAAGGAAGTTAATCTAATTTAAACAGATTTTCAACAATGATCAATTTTTATTTTCTACCAACATCCATAAAAACCATAAGCTATTTTATGCCATAAGAACCTTACATTTAATTTGTCATGACACAACTCATCGAACAGCCATATATAGGAGTGCATAAAATAAAGCCACACTTTCTAGTTGTCATGGATTCTAATGAGAAGCAACAGCATTAATTAGCAGCAAATTGATGAATATCATCCCTCCATGGATTCTTCATTGAACCTGCTTCAATATTGTCTAGTGCAACCCACACGGCACTGTTACACTTAAATCCTGACCCAAATCCCAATTGCCAGATTCTGTCACCTTTCTTGATTCTTCCTTTGGCTTCACGGTAAGCCAATTCATACCACACAGAACTCGAAGATGTATTCCCAAATCTATACAGCGTCATTCTAGAAGGTTCCATGTCCCAGTCTTGAAGGTCAAGACTCTTCTGCATTGTATCGAGCACAGCCCTTCCTCCGGTGTGAATACAAAAGTGGTCTGAAGCTAACTTGATTTTCGGAACATAAGTTTCAATCTTCAATCTCAGAACCTTCCTTGCCACAAAAGTTACAAGAAACTTGAGTTTTTCTGAGACAAGAAGAACCAGTGGGGCGAGAGATGTGATGTGATGTTTGAGGACGTGACCTGCAACATTCATGAGGTCTTTAGAGATGGTGACGCCAATTTGTTGTTGCTCATCTTCTTGTTGAAGGACACAGTTGTAGCTTCTGTCATCAGAAGCCATGTGGGTGCGAAGTGTGTGGATGATTTGGTACTTTGAACGACGACGATCTGAAGGATGGTTGGAGAGAAGAGAAGCAGAACCACCCATGCGAAAGAGACAATTGGAGAGAAGCATTGAAGGGTTGTTGCCCAAGTATGTCCCTGTGTTTGTAATTTCAATGCTCAGCACCATGGCGTAAGAGTTAGGGTGTGACTGTTGTAACAAAATATTAAGGTGCATGAGTTAGATACGTAAAAAATTTCTAAATTTAAATTTCATTTACTTAATATGTCACCCAGATGCTAGATTCTTGTTTTCTTCATTTTCTTTTTTTTTTAAATCAAGAATCATTGAATATGTTGAGAAACTATATATTCTAAATTAACTTGCCCTTTTTAATCTGTGCCAATTTAAGCTTGTATGGATGAAAAACAAAATATTCCACACCACCCAAAAACGTGTGTTAAAATGTGGAAGTGATCATAGCATACATATTTCTAATATTTGTGATATATATATATATTCTTTAATAAATTTACCAACAAAGATTAATTAAAATTTAACATGTTTGAGTTTATCATTAAATTATTTTTAAATTCATTAATTAAAAAATAATTAATTAAAATTTTATTAATTAATAATTATATATTTATATTTTTAAACTTGCACTTATGGTGACAAACCTGTGGGTGCTTGTCACCATGAGTATGTCTAAATTTAAATACATTTAATGAGTTTAAGTTTCAGGCACCTTAAATTATTTTTAAATTCATTTAATAGAAAAGTAATTAATTAATTAATAATTATATAATTAATTTTTTATAGGCTCAAATCACCATAAGTGTGCCTGACTCGGACACAATTAATGTGTTTGAGTTCAGGCACGCTTACGGTAGCAGGCCCTTGTATAGCTTGTCGCTATATATCTTCGACACATTTAACTTATATTAAATTAATTAAGTAATTAATAAATGTGGATAATTAAATTAATGAATTTATTAAAATTTGACAATTTATTTTAATGAATTATGACAATAGTGGATACTTACAGCTGTTGTCACAATATCTAAGTTTTTTTCACTTATTTATGAGTTTGCCACTTTATCATTTATTATCTTAGTTTTTTTGAAAATTGTGGCTATTTTTCACTAGCATCAGTTGATAAAAATTTGACTTATAACTCATAAGACATAGGGTCACAAGACATAGCTTTAAGACTTAACTACTTTTGCTTTATCATTAAAAAATACTATATTTTCAATTTCTTTTTTGGGTATAAAACCACTAGGAATTCAAAAGTCATGTTAGATCTTAACTAATTTGAATCAAGCTAGGAACGAGTATAGAGGAAAAAAATTTTACCAATAAAAATTTAATGCAAATGCATGTCCAGGGTTAGGATTCAAGATTACTTATTAAACTACATTTGAATATACAAAATTTAATATTCCCATTCAATTAATGCATTTGAAATACTACCTCAAGCTCAATTTATAAAATACTTTTAATTTTAATAAAATTTAACATGTCAAAATATAAGACACTTTTAACAAAAATAAGGTTTCATAATGATATTTTTTTAATATCACCCTTTCCAATATATTCCCCCCCTCTCTTAATATTCTTTTAGAAATGGATTTTTAAATAAAGAATATTTTTGAAAGTTTTTACTTTTGTCTTGAAAAAATAAAATTATAAAATGTATTTAATAATCTTTATTAGTATATGTAATTTTGCTTAAAAATGTCTTATAAATTAAGACGAAGGAATTAAAAAGAAGGAGCCAACAACAAATCTTTCATTACCCTTAACAACTTCCAATATCCAAATAAACCCTTCATTGAATATATAAAAATTTATGAATCTAAATTGGTTCAAATTCAAATCCATTTTTAATTATAATTGCTTTGTAATTTTAAATTCTCTCTACATCCTAGTCATTTGATATTTTAATTGCTTCAAATATCTTGTTTTATTCGTATTTTCACTATCAATACATCTACGACTCTCATATCTTTTCTCATGTCTCGTTGATTAAAAATAAAAAAACATTTTATTTTTAATTTTTCATTTTCATTCTGAATCTTAGTTCATCTCCCTTCTTTATTTGAATTTTTAAACTACCCAACAAAAGATTTTAAATATATGAATTATAAATGTGAGATTTAAAATGTAAAATTTAAAATTTAAAATTCAAATTCAAATACAATACTACCTAGCAGTGATTGTACCTTTTTTAATAATCATGTTGTTGATTATGTACCAACTAAGGAGTTGGTTTCCCTCCACTGAGAAAAATCTGGACTGTCCAAATTTAATCTAGATGGCCCGGACTAAATATTTTTAACTTTTTTAAATTTATATTTTGAAATAAAAAGTAGAAAAATTTTAATAAATATACTTGTTAATCTAACACTTCAAATTTAATATGAATGATCTAAATTTATATTAAAAATTTAAATTAACTTTTTAGATATATTCTGGACAATGCAGATATATTCTAAGTAAAGCAGTAAATTTACTAAAAAATTTAATATTAAATTTGAATCATCCATATTAAATCAAAACTATCAGATTGGTGAGTATATTTACTAAAAAATTTATATTTTTTATTTTGAAATATAAATTAAAAAATAAAAATATTTAATCTAGACGGTCTATAGGCAGAGGAGGCTTCCCCTTAGTAGAGGGAAGCCAACTCCACCAACTAGAGCCTAGTTGATTCTAGTCAGTAACTGTTATTTGAAAAAAGAAAGAAAGAAAGAAAGAAAGAAATGGTGAAGAATCGCACCTGAAGGAGGCGTTTGGCAAAGTCAATAGCAAGAACTCTAGCACTGCAACCCATACCGCTAAGATTATAGCATAAGATATTGTGTCTGAGGTTATATCGATTCACGATGATGTCACATAGAGATGGCGTGGGACAAAACATACTACTGTTCACAACGAGAATTCTTATATCCTTAGGTTGGACCCATGTTTTCTCCAGAAGTTCATCAATGGCTCCAAAAAACACAGTCTCTGTCTCTTTCCTTGCCTCATCTAGGCATACTTTTGGTGGGTTACTTTGCATGATAGCTTGGGGGAGATATGTCTTAGGTCCCAAACCAGACCTATCAACAATTTTCCTGATTCGTTTCAAGCTCTCTTCTGAGAAAACTCCAACGTTCTTTGATTGTTCCACTAACATATTAGTGGTGATAGCACAAGAATCATTCAGTTTGTAGCAAGCAAAGTCTACTAAATATACTTCGCTTGTTTGTCTCTTCAAGTGCTGAAAAATGGCTAGGGCTAGGAGGAAGAATGCTGAGAAGCAAGATAACATGAGAGATGGATGAAGATATTTGAACTCATGAAGCCAAGCAGAGGCTGAAGCTGCTACTAAAAACGACATGAACAATAGGTTCATCATGTTGAGTGCTTGGCAATGGTAAATGCAAGGTATCTATATGATCTTTAAATAGGCACAAAACAAGTTATTGTTTCAAGTTTCTTGAGGACTCAATGTAAATGCATGGGATCCACTTGCTTTTTTGCATTCAATGAATATATAGACATGCATGTGAATTGTAGCTGGATTGGGAAAATATTATCTAAGAAACCATGGATAGTTGTTATAGCAAATAATTAAGGACCTTAAAAATACAAAATTTCATTGCATTCCCTTGGTACCCATATGAAAATAAGATCTATGAGAAAAGATCTAATTATCTTTAAAATTTAATAATTTAATAGGTTGCTAGTAATTAGTATAGTTAGTTGTCAGAACCCAAATTAATTTTTTGTTTTTTTTACGCAAGACCAACACTTGTATAGTTAAACTTGTGCTATCATCACTTGTTAATTTTAATGTGTTATTATTAATTATATATGGTTATTTATCAAAACATAAATGGATGCTTCTTTATGCAGGACTAACATATGCACAATTAAACATATGTATAATTAAATATATGCTAGCAATTATAATTACTTGTCCTAAATGAGTTGATGTTAATTACATAAGGTTATTTGTCTTCGAATGGATACCGTTTATGCAGGATCAACTTGTACAATTAAATTGTGTTATTAGTTTTTGCGACTTGTTCATTTTCAAATGAGTTACTACTAATTACAGATGGTTATTATTTGTTAAAATCTGAATAGATACTTATTTATTTATCTATAAAATTTTAAGGGTAGCTAAGTCTTTTCTCACAAATCTTCTTTTTAGATAGGTACCAATGAAAGTTCAAATTTTTAAGGTCCTTCTTTGATACAAAACTCTTAAAGGGTCTTTAGATGATTTTTTCCCCTGTAGATTGTTGAAAAATAAGCCTCATTATTCTTATTCATAATTTATAAACAAATGACATATAACCAGAGACAAAGCCAGGATTCTAGCTCAGGGGTGCATTTTAATTGAAAATAAAATGTCAATATTATAAAAATAAAATTTCAATAATTAAAAAATAATTATGTACATTACAATTTTCAAGAATAGAGGTGATAAATAATCACAAAAAATATAATATTTTGTGATTTCATATTACAAAACTATACTATTGAACAAGAAAAAAAGTAACTAACTAAAAAAATCATTGTGAAAAATGTGGATTTGATTTTGCAATTAAAAAGTAAATAATGTTGTCTCATGTATAGTAAGAGTTTAATATTTTGGGTTAGAATTTATTATCCTTAAGCTAAATTTTTATGGGTTTGGGAACTTGTGATTAATATATTTAAATCTTGGGCACGAGTTGAGTGATCTCAAATAATTAATTAAGGATAGAAGTGTAAAAGACAAAGATATAGAGTGTACTTGTGTAAAACATTAAATCTCATACCATGTCCTTATAATTTTAGCTAAATTTAGGGGTGCATTTGCCTCCCACCTCAATTCAATGTGGCTTCACCAATGCATATAACTACTTGAATATAATTTATATAAATAATATGAGATATATAACTATTTTGAATGTGAAATATTAGTTCTATTCTTCTTACACATTTCAAGTTATAATTTGTAAATAATACGTAATTAATTATCATTAAAATAAAAATATGGACTTGTATTTGCTTGAATGAGACTTATTATTAGTTTTTGTCTATGAATAATTTTCTTGAGTAGTCCTTGAATATAATTCTCCCAAATAAATATGTTTACATAACAAAAAATTTAAATAAAAAAGGAAAAAATATATGCGTTAATTTTTTTTAGATAATTTGAATGATTTTTAGACAACATTTGTATTTAAAGAGGGGTATTCTAGTCTAACATATATAATTTAATGGTTAACTAATGATGGGATGAATGAAAATAAAACTTAAAAATGGAGAAAATATTTGTATTTTGTAACTATTCATACTAGGAGGGTGTTGTAAAGGTTTCATAATTAGAAGGGAGGTACATGTAAATAATATATTTAACCAAAAATGAAAGGGAGGCCGGTTAGAGTATTCTATTCTTATGATTATGATTTGGGTTCTAGAAAATTGAAATTAACTTTGTGTGTTGAAATTATTAGGAGTTATTAAAATTAGGAAAATTTTATTCAAAACCCCTTGATCGTAGATAATGAAAAAGAAGACCCCAAAATTTCTTACATTTTACTGCAAGGCTTAGGGCCTGGTTTGATATTAATTTTGAAAGCCAAATGACAAAGTTGCCCTCATTGTAAGAAAATTATCAAGGAAGAAAAAAAAAAACGTCTTGCAAACATATAGAAGATAAGGCACATAGTAAGGTTCACAAAATTTATCAATGAAACCTCTGTTGTTGGACTGTTTACCCAAGAATCTCCATTGAATGAGTCACCACTAGGTCAACGGCTACCTCTAATCTCATAGCTTCTTTTGGTTAGCATTGTTTTTCCCTGAGCTTGGATGTAGAAGAGGGTTTCATTGAGCATTTGATAGAAGAAGAACCGTGGGTATCTACAAAAAATCATAATAATGTAATTTTAATTATCTCTTGATTTCGATAGTCATTTGTGAAATCTCTATTTTAGATTGAGAAAAATAGTGAAAGTTAATGTCTTTATTTTAAAATTAGTGAAGTTGGAATTAGATAAGGCGTGTTGTTCATTTCCCAAATAGTAGTTGTTAAGTAGCCTACTTGAATTTGAGGCTTTATTTGTACTTTATACACTTGGTACTCTACTTTGTCCTACTACTGGTCCATCTATAAGCAATAAGTTAGTGGAAGTAGTAGAGTTCATGAGCAATGATTGGAACAAATTTGATGGGGAAACTCTTGTGTTGGATGAGTTGAGCAATAAGATCATAGAGAAGTACTAATAGTTGTTAAATTCAAGTCATGCCAAGGGCACAAGAAATATTAGTGGTTGGGTGTACTTGTTAGTGGTATGTATAAAGACTTGTTCATTCCCTAATATTTAGTTGTTGATCCCCTCATTGCAATTGTTTATTTGCGTTATTTAACTTGTTTTTGTGTAGTTTTTTTTTTCAAAAATCCCCTTAGCTGAAGGGGTGGATTTTTTATTTCAGAAGTAGTCAAGGAGTAGACAAAGTAGCGAGTTAATGATAGAGTCAACCTTGAAAAGAGCAGTTCACATGAGATTTTGCAACTCCATTAGATGGGAACCATGAGAAGAACTCTGAACATGATATCGTGCTGCATCTCCTTGCAAGTGACAATGCTAAGAAGAGGTGAAGTTGAATTACTTGTTCTAATTATTAATAATGTTATAACTTTTTACATATTATTGTTCTTATAAAGTTCCTTGGAATTGTTCTTTATATATGTATATATGAACAAGTCATTGGATAAGAATGAATTAACCATTTACTTTCATTTTCAACTACATTTAATAGGAAAAATGAACTATAAATATGCAGTTTCATGTCAACTCAAAGTATTGCAATGAATAAGTTATATAGGGAAATTACCAACATTCTGTAGGGTAATGAAGCACACATAGTAGGGTAACGAATAAATCATTTAAACATGAAACTAACTAACACTTGGAATTTTTTGCAAGCCAGTGCTAAAACAAACAAGTGAGGTAGGGAATTAAAAAGATGTCATAGGATAATAAACCACACATGATAGGGCGATGAACAAGTCATTTGGAATTTTTTAAGTTAGGTAAAACTTAAACTTACACTGATAAAACTAGTACATACTTATATGAATAACTCACACTGGTATCTCCACAACATATTAGTATGACAAAGGTTGTTATAGAAACCCATAATTGTAATGAACAAGTGAGATAGGAAAATTAATAAGATGTCATAGGGTGATGAGCTACACATGATAAGGTGACGAACAAATCACTTGGAATTTTTTAAATTAGATGAAACCTAAACTTATATTGGTAGAACTAGCACATACTAGTTAAAAATACTCATACTAGTATTAGGACAACATATCAATATAATAGAGGCTGTTATAAAAACCCATAATTGTAATGAACAAGTGAGCTAAGGAAATTAACAAGATATCATAGGGTGATGAACCACACATAGTAGGGCGATGAACAAGCCACTTGGAATTTTTGAAGTTAAGTAAAGACCAAACACATACTGGTATGAATAACTCATACTGGTATCAATACAACATATCAGTATGATAGAGGTTGTTATAGAAATACATAATTGTAACAAATAAGTGACATAAGGAAATTAACAAGATGCCACAGAGTGATGAACCATATATAGTAGGGCGATGAACAAGTCACTTGAGATTTTTAAGTTAGGTGAAACCCAAACTCATACTGATAGAACTAGTACATATCGATATGAATAACTCATACCGATATCAACACAATATACAAGTATGACAAAGTTAGTTTTAGAAACTTATACTCATATTAGTAGAACCAATACATACTAATATAAATAACTTATACTGGTATCAACACAACATACCGATATAATAGAGGCTGATGATATAGAAACCCACACTCATGCTGGTAGAACTAGTACATACTAGTATGAACTACACATATTGATATATTAGAGACATACTAGTATGAAAGGTATGTTTTCTTTGTCTTAATATTTTAATCTTATCTGTTCATGTAAAATTTACTTCCAAGAACTACTTTTTCATATTAGTAAATTGGTAACATTCTGGCATAACCCTATCTATTATAAGAGGTGCCTCTGTCTCATTCTTATTCATATCATGAAATCTTACCAGTAGGAAACTTAGATTCTCTTAACTTGACAATCACCATCTCTTTACCAAAACCAAATTCCCTCCATGATTATCTCTTAAAAAATTCTCAATTATAAACCCTCAATTTAATCTATTAGTAAATCTCTCAAGTCTCTAATTCAATCTATTCTTCTGTTTGACTCTATGAAGAAGATGGCTTGAGTAAAAACTATAGAGAAGTCACTCGTAGATCAAGGAATCACTTCAAATGAATTTCATGAGGCTCATAATCTCATTATGAAGAG